TGTGGTTGCTAGGGTACCTGGGGCGGTTGCTAAGGTGTTGCTATGCGGTTGCTAAGGTACTCGGGGTGGTTTGCTACTGTGTTGCTATGCATTTGCTAGGGTACCCAGGGTGGTTGCTAAGGTTTTGCTATGTGGTTGCTAGGGTAACTGGGGCAGTTGCTAAGGTGTTGCTATGCAGTTGCTAAGGTACTCGGGGTGGTTGCTAGAGTGTTGCTATGCGGTTGCTAGGGTACCCGGGGAGGTTGCTAAGGTGTTGCTATGCGGTTGCTAGGGTACCCCGGGTGGTTGCTACAGTGTTGCTATGCCGTTGCTGAGGTACTCGGGGTGGTTGCTAGGGTTTTGCTATGCAGTTGCTAGGGTACCCGGGGTGTTTGCTAAGGTGTTGCTATGCGGTTGCTAGGGTACCCGGCATGGTCGCTAGTGTGTTTCCAGCATGATTAGCATTTCGCTAGCATGTTGCTGGCATTATTAACAAGTAACTAGCTTGTTGCTAGCATGATTAGCAAGTGACTAGCATGATTAACAAGTGAGTTGCATGTCTATAGCATGTTTATTGGATGTTGCTAGCATGATTAGCCAGTTACTAGCATGTTGCTAACATGCCTAGCAAGTGACTAGCATGTCGTTAGCATGATAATTAAGTTACTAGCATGTTGTTAGCATGTTTCAAACATGTTGCTAGCATGATTAGCATAGTGACAAGCATGTTGCTATCATATTGTTAGCATGATTAACAAGTTACTAGCATGTTGCTACCATGTTTAGCATAGTGACAAGCATGTCGCTATCATATTGTTAGCATGATTAACAAGTTACTAGCATGTTGCTACCATGTTTAGCATAGTGACAAGCATGTCGCTATCATATTGTTAGCATGATTAACAAGTTACTAGCATGTTGCTACCATGTTTAGCATAGTGACAAGCATGTCGCTATCATATTGTTAGCATGATTAACAAGTTACTAGCATGTTGCTACCATGTTTAGCATAGTGACAAGCATGTCGCTATCATATTGTTAGCATGATTAACAAGTGACTAGCATGTTGCTAGCATGATTGGCAAGTGACTAGCATGTCGCTAGCATGATTAGCAAGTGACCCGCCTGTTGCTAGCATGACTAGCCAATGACTAGCATGTCATTTGCATGATTAGCAAGTGACTATCATGTCGCTAGCATGTTTCCAGTATGATTAGCATTCTAGGTTGGTTTGGATAGTTGCTACAGTGTTGCTATGAAGATAGATAGATAGATAGATAGATAGATAGATAGATAGATAGACAGATAGATAGAAAT